GGGAGGAGGAGGAGGAGGAGGAGGAGAAGGAGAAGGAGAAGAAGAAGAAGAAGAAGAAGAAGAAGAAGAAGAAGAAGAAGAAGAAGGGAGAAGGCGAAGGAGAAGGCGAAGGAGAAGGCGAAGAAGAAGGCGAAGAAGGAGAGAAGAGAACAACAACGACAACGACAATGACAACGACAACGACAACGACAACGACAACGACAACCGAGCCTTGTGAGTGAATGGTACATATACATGTAGCTGTTAATGAAGAAGTCATGAGTTTGAATCCTGATGGAACACGAACGCCAAGAACAATGACAACAACGACGGCAATGGTAGCAGCAGCAACGATCACAGCAACAACGGCACTCACAACAACAATAATGGCAGTGGCAACTCCAACACTAAGAACGAAAGTAATACTAAAAATAGCACCAGGACTATGGCAACAACAACAACAACAACAAAAAAAAAAAAAAAAAAAAAAAAAAAAAAAAAAAAAAAAAAAAAAAAAAAAAACAGTAACAAAACGCTTCAACAAAAAGAACAAAAACTGAAGAGCAGGTGGGTGTTGCCTCACTTCGTGACCATTGGCCATCCGCCAAATGACAAGGACACCTGAAGATGGTACCAGAAGTTGGCAGCTGGTACTCTTCCGACCCGGTACTCTTTCTTCGTGTGGGATTGGAGCTACATAGCTGAGAATGGGCCAAAGGGAAAAAGAAAGAAAAGAACCAAGTTCCACCTTAGTGTTCGCAATTCGGATATTTTAAAGGGACGAGGAGAAGACAAAAAGCTTCCACATGAAAGTCGGCTGACTGTTGCTGTTGTGTTGATTTTGCCATCATCATACCTTTTCCTCCTGAGGCAGCCACTGCAACCCTCTCGCCTGATTTGAACAGCTTATTCTTTATAATTGTGTGATGAATCTCATCTTCGAATGCCGTAAAGAAGCATTCCTTACAGACCTACACAAGCAACCACAAAAGTTGTGCTTATCAGGAAAAATAAACAGGAAGGAGGAAGAAGAAGAAGAAGAAGAAGAAGAAGAGTCCTTCAGGACATCCGTTAAAATTGGAATGATCCAGAGAAGATTTGCATGGCCCCTGCGTAAGGAAGACACGCATAAATTAAGAAATGGTAAAAAATTCCAATAAAAAGAAAGGAAAAAGAAACAGAAAAGAAAAATCCAGTAAATAATCTACTGTTACCTGGACTCAAGATGCCACCTTGGCAAGGAAAGGTATCCACTGGTGGGCACCGAACGCTCGACCACATGAAAGTGGCGAGCCTTGTACATGAGAGGCAGTGAAAAGGGGGAGTTCAAACAACAAATGAAAGAGAAAACACACACACACAAAAAAAAAGCCAAAGGAAGGAAAGAAAAGAAAGAATTGCACAGGAGAAGGCAAAACAGCCGTTTCAGTATGCTTCGTGTTTGGTAACTTTGGTTCCTTTGGAATGTTATAGTCTGCTGCACGTGTAGTGCAGCATGCTGCAACCAGTTGAGCAGTGTTGCATGACCATGGAAACCATATCCGCAATCAGGGCATACTCACGTATCTGACTGCAATTCCGGACGCCCGGATGAATCTTACTGCAATCACGTCCAGAGCTTTAGTACTAAAAAGTCCTAGTGCGAGTATGCCCTCAGTGCATTCAAAAAAAAAAAAAAGAATGAGAACACAAGGTTCAAAATAGCATCATTAAAAATTAAAAATAAAAACAGTTTAAAACACCCAGGAAAGAGGACTACGATAAGGAAGGAAAAGACAAGGAAAAATCAACTCGCTTAGCTCAGTTGGTAGTAACTTGGTACACCCATGAACTGTTGGAATGCAGACTCAGGTTCGAATCCACATGCAACCACATGACCACAATATAATCATTTTGAATTACCTGGGGCCAGTCAGTTCAATCATGATATCTCAATGTCATCGCCCTTTTGAAAGAAAAAAAAAAAGAAAAAACAAAGACAAGGATACTGAGTATTAATGACAGCCCGGTTCGTTGGACTTCCACCGACTTAGCGGCGGCTGAACCCTCGACAGTCTGCAGAATCCCCATTTTGATGCTTTGTGTCATAGCGTACTTCGACCCTAGTCGCACGTGGACATCCCGACGATACAAGCAACAAGGCAAAACGGGCAGTAGTAACATGAAGGGCAGGCTGAAAGGGATAGGTGGGCAGGCACGAAGGCAAACATTGACAAGGAGCAGGACAACACAATACAAATGGATGAGCAGCCAGGCAGCAGAAAAGCAGAAAAGCAGAGGGTAGGCAGGCTAGCAATACAAGTAGCAGCAGGCGGATAGGCAGCAAAGCAAGGAGCATGGCAAGAGCAGCAAGACGGCGGCCAGGCAGGCTGGCAAGCAGCAAGCCAAGCAGTTACATAGCAAGGCAAAATAAAGCAAGCGGGCAAGCAGCGAGACAACGAAGTTGTTGTCGCAGGGCAGCACCAACAAGGCAATCCACACATGCATGGACCAAAGCAGATTATCACCTACTCACACCACAAGCAGAACTCTACAGATATTAGGTTCAAGCCACCATCAAGAGCCAGGGAGGCACAAGACAAATGTCTGCCACGACTGGGGAACACACAGACACAGGCATCTCCAATCCAGCAGACCCCCAAATAGTGTTGCAGACACTCCAATCAGACGCAGTGGATCAATGGCCCAGCAGTTCAGATGGATGGATACAGAACGGACTCAACTCACCCAGTTGGGTGCCCAGGAGGAAGGGTTTTTTATTATTATTATTATTTTTAATTATTTTTTAGTTTTTTTTAAGGAGGGGTGACGGCATTGGGGTTTCATGGTAGAACTTGCCGGCCCTGCAGGTAATCCAAGAGTTTATTTCATCCATCTGATGCCCTCACGATTTGTCTGTTTATCAACAGTTCATCAGTATACCATTCAGCCACATGGGCCGGATATGCAGTAACCCTGTTCARCAGCAGACCGGGGCTCAGAACTTTGCCCCCGGTAAGACACAGACTCAGTTGTCTGTGCTGGGCTATGTGACCGAGMCATGCCCAGCCTGAGTCTGTCGAGGAGGCTGTGTGACCAAACGCAGCACAAGGGAAATTCAACAGTCAAAGACAACTGTAGAGTCAAAGGTACCGTACCCAGGCCTATGGACGGATACATTCACTTGTTGTGTGCAGGTACCCAGACAGCATTCAGGACGGGAGAAATACAGTTTCTGGCCGATCTGGGCCCTCATTCATATCGAGATCTGTCTTGCGTGAATGCTGACTTCACGCGTGGACTTGACGCTGTTGCTATGCTGCGACATTGCGACATTGGCTTGACGCCGGCTATATGCTGGCAGA